GTGAGTGGTGTGACGAGGCCCATAATCCCCAATTTAACTTTTTAAGGTATCGAGTGATTCGGCAAATTCAACAACATTCACAAAATTCGATAAAATTTGATTATCTTCTCTTCGCCAAAATGTCAAAATGTCGAAATGAAAAAATCCGACAAAATCATGATTAAAATTTGACAATGAGCGTGTTATGTCATCATGCCCACCCCCTCTCGTTGCTCTGCTGCAAATTCTCACCCCGAAGAACCCTCGTATGATATATCTATCAGGTGCCCACTTATGCAAAGCAACTGCAGTTATATTCCATTAAAAAACTACGGCAATAAATAAAATGCCCTTGAATGAGTCCCCCCCCAAAAGAAGTGTTTTCATAACCAGTCAAAATTTTGGCTAATTCTTTAAAATTGGTCACTGCTGTAAATCTGTTAATCATATAACAAACCTGATAAGCTTTCTTTGGTTTTCATTCCCTCCCCTTCCCCTTTTCCTCCCCTCTTCCTCCCCTCTTCCTCCCCTCTTCCTTCCCTTTTCCTCCCCTCTTCCTCCCGTCTTCTTCCCCCCTCCGTCCCATCCTCTGTGTCCATGCCGCATCCACCTAAAAAATACACCTCCTCCCCCTCTCTCTCTCTCTCTCTTCTCTCTCTCTCTCTGTGTATGGTATTCTAATCTCTCTCTCTCTCTCTCTCTCTCTCTCTCTCTCTCTCTCTGTGTATGCTATTCTAATCAATAGTAAGCAGGGAGGTTGTGTTTTCTGAGTGAAGGTTGACAACTTTACAGTTGTCCAGCAGCCATATGGTTGGGCCTGTGTGACTGTGAAGCTCAGGCATAGCCTGGCTTACGGTAGATGCAGTGGGAGCTACCGTTCCCTGCCGCCATGCCAGTTGGAGTGTGTCTCAGGGAAGCTGAACCGTGGAATGACTTACAAAAAGTCGTATGAACAGGAACCAATAAATAGGGAGAGGAAATGTGTAAATGACATGTATGCATTGCACTTCATCTTCATAGCCCGTGTCAAAGTGCACCTGGACGACTCTTCGTCTCCATGCAGATCACCCACCTGGACGTCTGCATGTGAAGGTGCATCATGACAGAGGCATTCGGGGGAATAGCCCACGTCAAGTGCTCTACGAGAACAACCCCATCCCACCCTTCCCAATCCCCCGGGTCCCTAAAGGGGGCAAGGGATGGAGACAAAGGAATGCTGAGCACTGACAGCTAACAGCTACGGCTGAGGCAGTGTTGCTTACTTATTGTGGCTATAGTCGAGTATGTGCTGATGCCTGCAAACCCTGGGTTGGAACCTCTGGATAGCAGACCTGTTTCTCTGGTCGTCTGTCACTGACAAGAAGCACTGGTGTTCTGAAAGTGCCGGATGTTTCTCGTGAACGTGGTTGCAAAATCGGCCTGGTTCGTGCTAAAGGAGCCCAAACGCAGTGGCGGTGGAACGTGACCACCTCCAGTGCCCTTCAGTGTAAGTAGCCTTTGCGAGGGCCCTTTGCCAGTAGAACTCGTAGTTTGATGAGCACAGTTGAGTCTTTCCAACGATGACTGGGTACAATGGAGGGCAATCTCCTCATGGAATTGGGATTCCAGTGCAAACAGGTCCATTTCTCCTTGTTTGTAAATGTGTGATGTCAGTCGTTCACGTGTACATGCACGCACGCACACACACACGGGGATGTGGGCAGCTCACGCTCAACCACAATCAACGTGGCCAGCATTGTACATGAGAGGCATGGTAAAGGGGGAGCTGCAAGAACAAATGAGAGAGATGGTTAATGGAAGGCCCAAAATTTGGGGTTTGTCGTCGCAACACCACAAGCAATGTCGTCAAAAATTTCACGAACAAACAATGCAGGCTCATAATACAAACATCGAAAGGAAAAAAAAAACTCAAAAGCACTATAAAACCCTACTCGGAGTAGCTTTCGGAGTTCACCAAAATTTTCTCCGAATTTGGTGTTTTTGCTAACTTTTTCGTTACTGGTCCAAATACGTCGAAACTGAATACAGATATGCCCTAAAGCCTGTGTTGCCACCCGGGGATCCTGGGGGCGAAGCCGGGTTGAGGGTCTTTGACCCCCGGGCCCCCGGCACGGGGACCCCAGCCCCTTCACCCCTGTCCCCAGCCC